GGTGATGGGTTGTAATTAGTATTTGGGTGGTGAACATGATGTAATCTATGCAGAAATAGAAGTATAATGATGTACACCTGAAATTTATACAATGTTATATACCAATGTTACTGCAATAAACAAACAAAAAAAAAAAGGAAGGCACTCCAGGCAGGGGAAGATGGATGGGGAGTGAATGGAAACAGGCTAGGGAAGGGGATGCTGACTGGCACTCTTCTGTATAATGTGCTTGCCCCTTCAGCCTCCTTAGAAAGATGGATTTGCTTGTTTTGGGGTGATAGACATAATTGGGTGCCAAGTCTATTCTTAACATTTTGGAAACAGCATTCTAGAACTGTTGCTGGGAGAACAGCTGCTGGGAGCTGAGCTGCAGAAGACTGGGGGTGGGGTAGCATGAGAGGGATGGGGACGGACAGATTTGGGCCTCCTTCTGGTGCCTGGTCCTGACCGTGCTCCATGTGAGAAGGAGATGTCTTTGTCTCAGTCAGTAGGGCAGGACTGAGAGGCAGGCAGGAACTTGGAGCTGTTGCTCTGGCTCGGAGTGAGTTTTTGTGGTGTTGACCATGCTCATGCTTGGTCACCTGTTTGGTCGATGGGCAAATCTCTGCATATAGCCGCCCATGGCGAGAGGCGCTGCACAACACTAGAATAGAGAACTGAGCCATTTCCCGCCCTGGATCCCCCCTCCACTGGGAAAATTCATGTGAGGAATGAGCCCTAGTCCTCCGGCTAAGCCTGGGGTCACAGTCCCTTTGGGTTAGGACGATCAGAGGAAAGGTAGTATAGAGTCTTCAACTCAAGTGAGGGAGGATGCAGATGCCTTAAGCCAGACTTCAGGCAGCCCAGAGGAAAGGGTCTTAAACTACGTGCGATCCCACGGGTTTAGGAGGGCCTTGAAGAGGGTTTGAGACAGGGAACTCAGAGAGTGGCATTGCCTTACCAAAGAGAGGGAGCTGGAGAGGTGCCCTCCTGTCCGTGGACAGCCAGAAGTGATTTCAAGTAGCCTTCCTGGCGCGGAGGGGGCTTCACAACCAGAGTTAGAGACGTAAAGAGAAGGTGAGCCGTCCCCAGAGCGGAGGCGGCCTTACCCAAGGTGGCAGGACCTGAGTCTTTAAGAGCAGGGAGGCCTCCGGCTTGCTGCTTAGGGCTGACTCTGAACCAACGTGAGGTTTCCAAGAGAGCACCTGGCTGTAAGGTGTGGCTTGACACATTCAGTCAAGCCCAGTGACAGGGACCACATGGGTCTCTTCTTCCAGGGAATTCAGTCATCTGTGTTTGCTCCTTCAGCCGATAACTTGTGAGCACATCCTGGGCGCCAGTCTCTCTGCTGTGCACTGGATGCCACAGGGAATGAGACAGTTGGGGTCCCTGCCCTATGCAGCTTACTTACATTGTGTATGTGTGAAGTGAGGGAGGTAATAGACCAGAACAAAAGTCGGGCAAACACACAAGATACCTAAAAATTAGGAGCCAGCCCTGATGGCCTAGTGATTCTAGTTTGGCGCTCTCACTGCTTTGGCTGCCTGGGTTTGGTTCCTGAGCGCGGAACCACACCACCCGTCTGTCAGTTGCCATGCTGTAGTGGCAGCTCATCTAGAAGAACTAGAAGGACTTACAGCTGGGATATACAACCATGCATTGAGGCTTTGGGGAGGGGGGAAAAAAAGAGGAAGATTGGCAACAGATGTTAGCTCAGGGTGACTCTTTCCCTGCAAAAAATAAAAATAAAAAAATAAAGCTGCTTTTCTTTAAAAAATAAATTAAGATAAGTGCACACTGAGGGCTGGAGGCAGGATGTTGGGCTAGGCAGTGACTTGGGGAGACGTCTGAGCTGAGACGATAAGGGATCAGAATGAGCCGGGCTGAGAAGAACTGAAGGCAGAGCCTGCTAGGCAGAGGCACATGCCCGCAGAGGTTGGAAGGTATTGAGTGTGTTCAGAGAAGGGAAGGCGGGCAGTGTGTGGGGAGTGGAGGGAGTGGAGGAAGCAAAGCCCAGCTCAGGCAGACCTGCGAAGCCAGGTCAGACTTGGGTTCTTATTCTAAGAGAGTTTTAGGCAGAGAGATGACTGTTTCTCTATTTTTAAACAATCAATCTGGCAACAATAGATGTGGGCTGAGCTCTAGGTAGCTATACCTCCCTGGTGATTACAGGTCGACAGGAGGAGAGGAGGGAAGGTCAGTGAGCAGGCTTTTGCAGGATTTAAGGTGAGAGAGCATGGTGGCTTGGATTCGGATAGATTGGAGCTGGCACCCAGATGGGGCCGTCCAACCCCGACAGGCTCTGAGCTGAGAACGCAGGCAGAGAACCAGGCCTGTGCTTCAGTGTCTCTGTCTCCTCGCTTTCAACGTAAGACACTGGCCTGTGCTATTTGGAAGTCAGATTTTGGAGTCAAACATAAGTCATTTTGAATCCTGCCTCAGTAACTAACTAGCTTTCTGTCCTGTGTTAGTTACTGAGCCCTGTGAGCCCCGAGGGGCTCCTGTTGACCTAAGAGCTAATAGATGTCAAACATGGAGCACCTGGCCTCCCACCTGATCCTGGAAGCCACCGTTTCTTTAGGTCCACGACCATTACTCCTATCAACGCAGGCCTTGGCTGCTTTAGCATTCGCAGGGTAGGTCTACAGTTGGCTTCTGGTCCCCCCCTTTTCCTGGGAGCATGACTTGGTTGCTCATGCAAGCTTCCCTTCTGATCACTCCTGCATTCTCTCTTCATGCCAGTGTTGCCCAGACCAGGGGCCCACACCTGCCTGTTCTCCCCTCGCACGCTCAGCGTGGGCTTCCCCCCTCCCTGCACAAGTGCATGTGGCCAGGCTAGAACGGGAGCACCCTGCCTCACCTTGCAGAATGCTGTGCTCCCTTCTCTCCAACTCGGATAGCTGCTCAGTTCAGCCTTGCTTACTCTTGGGCCCAGCTGCAGTAGCTTTGGGTCCACACTGTTTATCCTGCAGCACAGGTGGTGGAAAGAACTCAGTGGTGGTCAGGCCATCTGAGTTGAAGTCCCAGTTCTGCCAATAACTCTATGATGTCTGACAAATCGCTTGACTTTTCCATACCTCCTCTTCTGTATCTATTCAGGGTTCAGCCATCTGTTGCCTACTGTGTGCGGGCACTGACATTCTAGGATTCTGCATGAGTTCTATTTTAAGGCCCTTGGAGGTAGTGTTTCTAGAGGCTCAGATGTAAGTTTTCACAGTGCTCTGCATACAGAGTGCCTGGTACCTTTAAAAATAGGATGGCTGCTACAGATGTTAAGGAATGGTATGAGAGGTTCTTGGGAGGCCATTTGCACAGAGATGCCTGGGGAACGTAGAACAAGGCTTGGCATCACTGTCCAGAAGCGGTGGGTGTCTTCCCACCTTACATTTGGATCGGAAATATAAGCCAACGTCCCTGCCATGGTGGCTGCTGGCAGCTGGCACATCTGGCACCCAGATGGAGATTCCAGCAGAGCCTGGGTCTGGAAGGAGCCCACATGAGAGTGGGTCTGTGAAGACTCTGCCTGACAGGAACCAGGCAGGAAGGAGCAAAACAGGCGGGTTGTAAGGTGCTGATCTGACCCTCGCCCTCCTATTCTTGACCAGATCCAGGGCCCATCTACAGGGGCCAGGAGGGTCCTCCAACTGGGTCTCACAATGATGAAGAGCATCCACCTTGGGCGTTCGATATTGTCTCTGCAGTGCAGAGCTATCATCGTGGAACGAAAGAAGCAGGCGTCCATCTCCCAACTTGGAGCTTGTGTCCCGTTACTGGATCACACGTTACAAATAAATGTGATAAATCCTGTAATTATTGTGCGATCAGGACTAGCGTATCCCACTGTGTTTGTGTAACAAAACATCACTTTGTCAAACATGAACATATAAAATATTCCCCAATTTTCATAACTTTGTTTTGGCATTTCTTAATTATTTTTTAACATAGTGGGATCTTTAAAATATGTAAGTAGCTAGGCTTTTCATGACCTTTTAGACCAAACCTCATCTTTATTTTTTTTCCCCACTCCATTAGATTCAAACAGTGACGAAGAAAGTCCTAGTGGCACCTCTGTCAGATGAGGAGGGCAATGCCACCAACGCTGTCATCTCCCTGTTGAACGAGACCGTGACGGAGGCACCTGAGGAAACGAGCGTGGTCATCAAGAAGGGCCTGGAGTTCAAGGACGGCATGAATGTCTTAGGTAGGCAACCTAGTATCTGCCTCCCTGGGGGAGGCGCCTCTGCTTTCCCACCTGTGGCCAGCCTTTCCTGCTTCTCAGCACCTCGGCATCCTTCACTCCCTTCTCAGAAAGCCAGTCGCTCTGCTGTCCTCTAGGTGGAGCAGGAGGCTCTCTCTGGGGAGGGTCATTGGGACCGACAGCTGAGAGATAGAGGAAGACGGAGATGGGCAGGAGCAAGACCATGAGGGGACATTACAGCTAGAGGTTGGTTATGGGAAAAAAGAGGGGATTCACGTTCATTGGGCATATGCCCTGACTTTCTGCATGGCATTGGCAAGTCACTTTCTCTGACTCCATTTCATGAAGTTACACATCCAATTCTTTCATGTCTTAAGCATATTTTTTTGAGCTGCCCTTCTGTACCAGTGGTGTGCTGGGCATGGGGAATGTCCCACCCCAGCTCTCACAGTCTGTAAACAAATGCAATGCTATCAGGAGTGTAAAGCATTAGCGTTGGTGTCAAAAGGAGCTTATCAAAAGGAGATTATCTTGTGTAATTTTCTGGGATTCCAATGAGTCCTTTCCCCTAGCCTGGAGCCGTCTTAGCACACCGTCCCAGGGGTTCTTCAGCTCTGCAGGTGGACAGACCTGGGTTTGGATCCTTTATGGACCACTGATTGGTTATCTGACTGTAGGCAAGTGGTTCCACTTCTCTGAGCCTCATTTGTCAAGTGGGCATGAGATTGGCATTTCTCTTGTAGATCGTTATGAGGATTAAATGAGATTGTGCACCTAGAACACGCCATATGCTCTATTCACGTGAGCTACTGTCATTGTTAAAAGTCAGAGGATGGAGTCTCACCATCACGTGGGTGGCTCCAGTTTGGCCAGTTCTCTCCCCACCCACCCCCTGGGTCCACTCCCCATCGTAACCCTCATCCACTGTTAGAATGTCATCCCCAAGGCAAGAAAGAAGGACATTTGGCCATAAGCTGGGAGAAATGGGCAATCTGGGTGGAAGAAGTATGTTGACCCATGTAAGCAAGATTTCTAAGTATTTGAATGAGAGCTGTTTAGAAATGGATGAGCTCGGTGGTCCTTCCACTTTGTCATCTAGGAGATTAAGTGCCCTTGTCTCCTTAGTAGGGTTGTCAGATAAAATACAGGATGTCCAGTTAAATGTGAATTTCAGATAAACAACAACAAATTTTTTAGTGTAAGTATGTCTCAACTATTGCATGGGACATACTTATGCTAAAAAATTCTTCACCATTTATCTGATGTTCAGAAACCTAACTGGTGTCCTGTTTGTTTGTTCTAAATTTGATAAACTTGCCCCTTACTCATCCAGAATGGTGGAGAGGAGGAGGTAGAGGGATCAGGATTGCCCAGCCACTGAAAAGTGGAGGGCCATTTTTGTCTGGCCTGGGAGGAAGCAGGTTGGGTAAGAGTGAGGGAGGAGATAAGCTGACTAGGTTGCCAGGCAGTGTGAGATCAATAAACATTGTTGACAATCAGTGGGAGGTGAGAGGAGGGAGAAAGTGGGAGAGTTCCTCTGAGAAGGAGGGTTTGCAAATATCCTCAGCATCTGCCCCTGAGTAGCTCTTCTCTCTCACTGCCCAGATACCCACGACCATTTCAGGACCTTCCCAACTCCCCTTGGTCCCTTCGGGCAGGTCATAATGAAAGACCCAACCCCCGTGGTCAAAGTGGCCCCATAGTCTTCTTCACACTCCGAGGAAGGTTGAGGCCATGAGTAACGGGGCCAAAGCTTTGGGGTGAATCATTCAGAAGACTTTCGTGGTCGTTTCCAGAGTCTTGGTGGATTTTGGGAAGTCACATGACCTTTGGCTGTACTGGGAAGTTTCAACACAACTCACTACTCTTTCAACCCTAATGACCAAGTCTAAGAGGGCCTTGTTCAAATGAAACAGCCCTGTTCCAGTGAATGAGTTCAGTGAGGCATTGTTTATAGAGGGAAATGCCAAGCTGGACATGGGTTTCCAAGTGCAGATTGCAGCTCTGGAAAGCCAAGAGAAGTTAGACTGTTGAGAAACTTCCCATTTACAAATCATGGCTGCAATAAGGTTCTTTCCATGGTCTTCCAAGGGTGGAGATGGTGGCTGTTTTGTTCTTTGGTTTTATTTTTGGCTTAGGAAAGTCCCGAGGATCAAGCATTGCAATAAGTGCAGATAAAGCCCTGGCCCTGGCCTCCCACTTCTTGAAGGACTCATTTCTTTCCAAAAAGTCCTCAGACCCCTTCTGGGTCCCACCCTAATTCCAATCACTTAGCTCAACTCCTGCTGGAGATTGCTCCTGTCAGCGTCTCGCTATTGTCCTCATAGATGTGGCCAGTTTCTGCTGGCCCTGAGGTGGGAGCTTTTTTATTCCAGTTCTTGGGACCTTGAGACCTTGTGCATTTTCTCTTAAAATTTCCAAATGAAGTTAACCAAGCAATACTAGCTATTCACAGCCAGAATGTTCACAGATGATTTCTCACCACACCTAGCAAATTCACCTCCATGGGTTTGAGCGAAGGCCTTGGGAACAGCCTGGATTTGATGTCATACATTACTGCAGAACTAGGGCACTCTCTCCTGGATCTAATTCTCACTAAGCCTTCATCTCTACTGGGCCAATAACTCACTTGTAAGTCACTTGTCAATCTTTCTGGCCAAGACCTGAAAAGGGGAAATATTAAATACCAAGGATTAACAGTCCTGAGGGCAAATGCTGGATTCTTTCTACTGAAGAGAGAAAGGGTCCTGTGAAGGGTAGTGAACAGTCTGGGTTGGTTCGGGCTTTGTGTGGGGAGGCGAGTGGTTTTGGTGACTAGGGAAAAGGTACAATCAGAAATTCAGAGAGGAAGAATTCCCCGCTAAGACAATCGAATTGTAGTACTATACTTACCTGATGTAGCTCAAAACTCCGGACATAACTGGACACCGAGGAAACTGGATATAATAGAGAGGGACTGGAATTTAGGCCTGCTAAACTGGGGCAGGGTAGGGGTGGGGAAGAGGAGGGAGAGAGAGAGACCACAGGATGGTCCATACTGCAGTTCAGAGAAAAGTCAGATGGGCAAGCAGTCTTATAGCCAAGGGAACAGTGACATTGATATGTAGTCCACGCAAGTAGTCAGAATCAGAGCCTCAGGACTCGCAGTACTGGGTCGGGGGTGGCGAGGCACGTGGTGACTGGAAATCACAGGCAGTAATGGAGACGCCCGTGAGCCACGTAGTGCACCCCAGTCCCTCGGCAGGTCTGGGTGAGACTCCAGCTCGGGGGGTGAGACACTGAGGGGGAAAGGAGTGGTGGCGGAAGGGAATCCTCTAGGGAGAGAAAAGCCAGAAGGAGGAACTCAAGTATCAGGCGGGTTCCCAGGACAGACACCCAGGTGCGGGGGATGTGGCCAAAGCCCACACCGCATGAGACTCGAGGTTGGTGCTGAAGTTGGTCCAGAACCTGGTGCAGTTTGACGCTGCCATCAAGAGGTGGGGACAGAGCTCCTCAAATCCTTCCAGCCTGGGATTAGGACTGACCCTGGAGTCTGGGATGGGGCTGCATTTAGATGGACGCCAAGTGAAGGGAGGAGAGGGCTGAGGGGCTGGGAAGTGGCCAAAGCTGTGTTCTGTCTTGATGCTCCCGAAAAAAGTAAAATAAAAAAGAAAGCATTCTAACCATTTTGACTTGAAAAGAATTATGACAAATTAAGAAATAACAGGTTAAACCCGAGGAACTGCGTCAGTTGGGGTTTCCCAACTGTTTTGGGTTTCCCATTGCTTTCCATTTGATTTTTCGACATTCCTCCTCCCTCTCACATTAGGCAGGTAGCAATAGACAGATAATCTTATGTTCAGGATTTTTCTAGAGTGAAGCATTCCAGCCGTGAGTTGATTTGGGATAACACCAAACCAATATAGACATAACCCTGGCAGAGACTTTACTGGCTAATTGGTCTCTGCTCTTCCAATATTGGCTCCAGAGTTTGCATGATAATCCCCAAGTCCCAGCAAGCCTTCCCTCCTTAATCTGTGTACTAATGGAATCTGCTTGCACATGATTTCATAAGTGAGGAGGAGCGGGAAGAGAGTACTTTTTAGTTGGGAGTGAAAATGTGTTCATTTTCTTCAAGGAACCAGCAGTGCGTACGGTTCAACTTGCTCATGTGGGAAATGTTAAGGAAAGCCATAATTATCCAGGGGAAAGGCACTTTGTGTGTGAAATAGGATGCTTTTGTCTTTCAATGCCTAATTCATAGAGTGACAGACAGTGAGAACATGGCTCTGTACGTCGGGAGTGGTAAAGAACGAGGGAGAAGAAACGTGCTTTACGATTTGTCCTTCTGTGTAATGTGATTCACCCAACAGGTCTGATAGGATTTTTCATTGCTTTTGGCATCGCCATGGGGAAGATGGGAGAGCAGGCCAAGCTGATGGTGGAATTCTTCAACATTTTGAATGAGATCGTCATGAAGTTAGTGATCATGATCATGTGGTGAGTGGGCTAGCTCTTAGTTCATTGTGAGGGTGTGAGAAGGTCTTTGGGGTCCCCAGAAGACACTGGAGCCCTCCCAGCAGGACAGGATTGGTGGGTGTGGACCAAGTAAAGGGCTCTCCAGAAAGACTTTGAGAAAGGGGTGAAATTCTTTTTTGGAGCTGCTTCTAGAAAATGGGTCAGAAAACCACAGGAATGGCCTGTGGGCCTATTCCTATCTGCCACCTGTTTTGTATGGACTATGAGTTAAGTAAGGGTTTCGTGTTTTTATTTTGCTGAAAAAAAATCAAAAGAAGAATAATATTCCGCAACACAAAAAAAATTTCGTGAAATTCACATTCAGTTCCCATAAATAAAGTTTTATTGGAATGTAGCTACGCCCATTTGTTATATATTGTCTAGGATTGCTTTTGTGCTGAACAGCAGAGTTGAGTAGTTCTGACTAAGACTGTGTAGCCTGCAAAACCTAAAATATTTACTATTTGGCCGTTTACATAAAAAGTTTGCCGGTTCATGCCCTTGACGAAAAAAAAAGAGACAGAGACAAGCTGGAAAAACCAATCAATAATACTGAAACTGAGCAGTATCAGGAAATACTAAAATAAACCCAAGATAGCAGGGATATGGCATGACCCAGGGTGTGTGTAAGAACCACGGCTCCCATATTCTGGTGTCCCAAGGCAATGTGTCTTAGATCTGGGTCACTCACGACTCATATAGAGAAAAAAAGAGGCCATTCTCAGGCCATGCAAGCGGAAGTGAAATCACAGAGGTATGTTAGAACTGTAAGTGCTCTTGGAAATCTGGTCTCACCCTCTTGTTTTACAGAAGAGAAAACTGTGGTCCAGAGACACTAACTCTTGATCGTTTAACATCATCACGATCATTATAATAATAAATGCTATCATTTATTGATTTCCTTTTATCTGCCAAGAGCCATGATAGGTGCTTAATATCCATCAAATGTAATCCCAATAACCCTTCAGAGATGGCATTATTATTCCCATTTTACAGAAAAGGCAACTGAGGCTCATGGAGGTGAATTAACTCACCTAAGTTTATATAGCTAGAGCAAGAGAAAAACTGGAGTTCATATTGATGTCAAAATCCTTGATGCGAAGTGGGTGGGGTTTTTTGTTTGGATCATCAAAGCAGTGTTGTCTCCACTTCATTTCACGTGTGTTTATGGTCAGTGGTTCTGAAATCTTGGGTGGCCCAGGAAAGCATGAGTGTCCACTCCTTCATCAAGGAGGCTGTGCCGCCTTCAATCACTAGAACCTTCTAATGTCCTGTATCTATCAGATGGAAAGATTTTTCGTGCATTTGTTTCAGACCCCCATGATGGTGCTGTGTACCTGCCTAGAAAACAATAAAACTGTTATTAGACCAAACTCCATCTGTGTTCCTCTTGCCGCGGGAATTCTGGGTACAAATTCCCTGTGTCTGCATGCTCCTGTCCTACCCACCTTCCCCAGGCCTCGTCTGATCCTCTTCCTCTTCTGTGTGGTACCTTCCACTGGAATTCTGCCTTCCTGCACTCTTCTTCCTTTCTTTGGCCCCTACTCCCACCTTACAAGCGAAAAATCTGTTCTTATTTTTTTTTTTTTTCTCCAAAGAACCAAACGTAGTGATGTGCCTGTAGTAAATTCTTACTAAAACTTCAGGAATGAGTGGGCTAGCTGAAGGCCCCAGAATCTGAATCAAGAAGATGTTCCTCATGAGTTCACCATATTTAATAGACCTGGCTGGTTCAGATCATTGCTTTATCGTTCTTCTAAAACATAGACAGGATGCCAGTAAAAGGATGTGTTCGTTTCCATTATTGGCCTGATTCTTCAACTTCCCAGGCAATACTAGATTTCTGAATATTTCTTTTGTATGAAGATTTAGAGTCACACACATAGTGATGCTGTAAAAAAATATGTTTAAATTCTTTTAGATCTGTTCTGAGCCTAATGAGAGTTTAATAAATGATAATACATAAAGCAGAGTAGGCATCTTGCTATTAAACATTAGGGTCTACCTTTGTTTCCTAGAATTTCTAGCAGTGAGCATCCTTGATCTAAATATGCAGTTCATATTTCTCCATTATGATGCCAGTGGTGTGGGCAATATATGAAAGTTTTTTCCTTCATCTGCAGAAACGTTATTTCTACTGAGCCCTTGAAGGAAAGGGAATCTTCTAGAAAATCAGATGAGTCATGGGATAAAGTGTAGCCTCCCTTTTCCCCAGGGATGGAGGGTGGTGTGGATCAAGAAGTTTCCTATTCACTGAACCAAAACTCCTGAAGATTTAGCATCATATCCCGGGAGATGAAGAGCAATTGTGAGGCAGGAATCAGACCTACGGAAGGATTTCTGACAGCTGTTCAGTCACCTCATCTAGGCAAACAGTCAGGAGGGTGTTACATGGCATGAGAGGTCAATTCTACACATTTCTGTCATTCTTGAGCTGCCTTGTCAGCATCGGCATTTGATAACGATGTGTGTGAGAGGGTTCTGGATAAAACTGCCAACCACTCTTTGACCCCTCAAAGCTTAAATAATCAGAGTTCTTTTGTATTCTTCTCTATGTGGTAGTAAGCATGGTAATAATAGATAATATCACATTGAGGAGATTATTGTTATTCTAATAATTATTATTGTTAAATTATAACAGAGTTATTAAATTCTTGCTATATACTCAGTACTATTTCAATTACTGTGCAGTACCCATTTATTATTGAGAAGGTAATTATTATTTTTATTATACTTATTATTAAATCATAACTAAGATTTACCAAATTCCTGCTATATGCTTGATACTATTCCAATTACTTGACATGCAGTAACTCATTTCTTCCTCACAATCGCACCTAGCAAAATAGGTCCTTCTATTAGCCCTGTTTTCCAGCTGAGGAGACGAGGCACAGAGGTTAGTGTGCCCAGTGTGGCACAGCCTGAGTTACGGGCGTTGTGTGGAAGTGTATCCAACTCAACTTCTGTCTGACGGCAGCCTGGCCTGAATCCAGGACCCTCCTATTACTAGCTGTGTGACTTTAGATAAGTTAGGCATGCTCTAAACCCCAGCATCCTGATCTGTAGCGTGGGTTGATCGTAGAATCCATGTCGTAGGGTTGCTGTGGGAATTAAGTGAAATTGTGACCAATAGTCACGGAGCATTTCCTGTGTGTCAGGACCTGTCTAAGCCCTTCACATGAATTAGTATTATTATTGTCTTTATTTTGTGATGGTCATTACTAGCATCAATTCAATCCTTTGTTTCTTTGTGTTCATTAATTCTTTAAGAAGTCCGCACAGCCCTCTGATTCATCAAAAAAAAAAAACCGGTAATTTTAGTGTGATTTTCATATCCTCATTTTTTGCAAATTTCTTTAAAACATTTCTTTTCAGAGTCTAAAAACTTAAAGAGAAAGTAAAACTTTTCACAATCTAACCACTATAGAAACGTAAAGTGAGAAGTGAAATCTCTGCCTGCTCTTCCAATTCCCTCTCATTAACCCACCACCTTCCCTCCCTCCCTCTCTCCCTCCCCTGGTTTCCTTCCTTCCTTCCTTCCTTCCTCCCTCCCTTCCTTCCTTCCTTCCTTCCTTCCTTCCATTCATCCGTCCGTCCGTCTGTCCACCCACCCACCCATCCATCCACCCACCCATCCACCCACCCATCCATCCATCCACCCATCCATCCATCCTTTCACTCTATAAATATTTTTTGAGCACCTCTTCTGTGCCAGTAACTGGTGATTTTAGGCACTGGAGATACAATGGTGAATGAGAGAGAAAGATGCCTGCTCTCATGGAGTTTACATTCTAGTGAAAGGAGAGAGGGAAAAATTAAAGGAAGCAAATAAGAATTCAGAGAGTAATCAGTGCTAAAACGTCAATAAACAGGAAAGGAGACAGAGAGTGATGGGTGGATGTAAGTAGGGAGTGAACTCCATCAGGAGGGGCCGGGAGAGGGCTGTCTGGGAAAGTGACTTTTGAAGAAGACCTGAAGAATGAGGGGGAGGCAGCTCCATGAAGAATTGAGAGGAGAATTTTCCAGGGGAGGAAACAGCAAGTGAAAGATTTTTGAGGGTCAGAATGAAGGTCTGGAGTGGCTGGAGTGTGGTTGGTTGGTGAGAGGGGGATGGAAGGCCGTGAAGTTGGAGGGGTGGGCAGGAGGCAGATCCCACAGGGCCCTGTAGGCAATTGTGATGAGTTATTTATTTGCAAAAGGAAATCCTTGGAGGGTTATAAGCCTGAAGACTCTACGAGCTGATTTTCACAATATCCTGTTGAAAAGTTCTAATCCACATATGGTAACTCTCAGCAAAAGTCACTCCTTGGATAGCCAGAATACCTCTCCCTAACTGGATTGGGAAAAATGGAGATTTGTGTTTCTTCCTGAGCCTAAGTACAGACAGCACCTTTAGGTAACTCTTGGGATGTGTGTTCAACTCTTTATTGACAGACTCTTCCAATTCTGAGTTCTCTTGGGACCCATCCCAAACTGGTGCCCTGGTGTTCCTATTGGAAATGTGTGGGACCAAACCAGAGTGGCTTTATGGCAGGACTGAGGAAGTCCCTCCACTTACCTCCACTCCAGGCATCTGTCCCACCATCTGTGCAGTGCCTGAAAGTCCCGAATTAACTATTTTAGTGGGTTAAGTCTGTCGGGAGAGAGGGAGAATCTCCCTCTGCCCTTTTCCTTAAGGTTCTGATGGCTGGCCAAATAATTAACAAAACAGGTTAGCAGGAGAAAATAATACCAAGTTTAATAACATGTATACATGGGAGAACTCAGAAATGAGCAACTCGTCCCTCTGTCTAAGCTGCCAGCTTAAGTATTGTAGCTAAAGGCGAGGAAGGTGTTGGGGGTGGGTAGTGGTCTGGGACCTCAGAGAGAAAGAAGACAACTTACATGGAGATAGAAATGCAAATGTTTGCCTGACAACTCTTCTCAGGGTCATCTATAGATATTGTGGTCAGGGAGAGATAGAGTTTTTGATAAAAGGGGCTTGGTGCCTTTCCTATTGTAAGCTCTATCCTACATTATCTTTACAGCCATCATGATAATAACTCCTTCCTGAAACAGATCTTTTGTTTTAAATTCTTTAGGCAGTTTGGGAGGGGAAACTCAAATATTCTTCCTGAGTTCTCTGCGTCTTTATTGTCTTCAGTTTGAAATAATCCACATACCAGAGTGGTGCCTCCTGGGGTAGCTTGCCCTGAGCACCACAAGACCAAAGGTCTTGAATAAATTTGAGCTAAAGTAAATGGTTTCCAAAGGCTAACCTAGTAATATCTGCACTTTATCAGTTGCAGATCAGATTTTACTCCTTGAAACACTGGTTTCCAAACACATCAGAATTACCTGGGGAACTTGTTTAGAATATAAATGCCCCAAGGCTAGCTCCAGGAAATTCTGACTCTAACTCCATAGGTATGTGGTGGGCCCAGGGAATCCATTTTGTTACCAGGCAGACCAGGTGTCTATGAATGCACAGAGACGCTGCCTGAGTTCTGGGTATGTCAAGTGCTGTGTATGAATTTACGACTGTGGAGTAGCAGACCTGGGAGGGGCATCTTGGTGGGAACCTTAGTATGACAAGAACTGTGGGTGGAGGCAAGAAGGGATGATGCAACAGTGAGAAAAAGACTCAGCAGGCTCGGGGCCGGCCCCGTGGCTTAGCGGTTAAGTGCGCGCGCTCCGCTACTGGCGGCCTGGGTTCGGATCCCGGGCGCACACCGACGCACCGCTTCTCCGGCCATGCTGTGGCCGCGTCCCACATACAGCAACTAGAGGGATGTGCAACTATGACATACAACTATCTACTGGGGCCTTGGGGGAAAAAAGGAGGAGGATTGGCAATAGATGTTAGCTCAGAACCGGTCTTCCTCAGCAAAAAGAGGAGGATTAGCATGGATGTGAGCTCAGGGCTGATCTTCCTCACACACACAAAAAAGAAAATAAATAAATAAATAAAAAAGAAGACTCAGCAGGCCAATCCTGGATGAATCAGTGGCTTTGAAAACAGTGCCCAGTGCTGAGGATACAGCCAGTCTCAGGGCAGCATGGAAGCCATTCCCTCGCTCTAGCTCTGTAGTCATGTCCTTCTCATTTAGAAACTGGTCTAGCAATTACTGAGCATCCTGTGGCTTCAGAAGGCTCACTGGAGCTCTCAGCCTCTTTATGCACTTTGGTTTATGGCTCTGATTGTTTCCTCTCAGAAGCTCTGAGTGGTGACCTTGGACCCTGGGCATTTGCCATTTCTTTTCCATGGAGTGTCGTTTTGAATGAGATAATTCATTATTATGGAAACCCAGGAACTCAGAATTCTGAGTGGAGGCTTAACCTACTTGTTTTGAAAACAGGTGCAGGGAAGTAATGTAAAAGGCATCTCAGAACAAAGGCTCTTTCCTTTTCCTAATTAATGTTAATTCTAATCCTGGAGACCAAGGTGTTTGGGTTAAGTAGGGCCCCTGCCTGCCCTATTTATTTACCCTAACCTTATGGCCTTTGAATAATGCTCTCCATTTAGAGTGGGAACTCATGTTTCTTCCAGCGAGCTGAGTGCTCCGGAGGTAACCTGTTACCTCTCATCCATTTGGCTCAGGCTCAGATGTGTTCTCCAGGGGACTCTATAGCTAGACTTCCTTGGCAAAAAGCCCTGAAAGCATTTTCTCTCCATTCTACAAACTGCTTGTCTCAAAAGAGCAGGAAAATTGAATGGCACCCAAAACAGCTCGTATTTGTGTTTTTCTGGACATCTTCAAGGGGTAACTGGTGCTTGGGAAAAAATTGATCTCTTGGTTTATGAAGATAAATGCCTGTTGGCTTTATCGGAAGATGCGTTCTGCTCAGCATATTTACAATCCCAGTGAACAAACAGCTGGCCCCTGAGACTTCCTTACTGATCTATGAGATGTCATGACTATGGGCACACCAGGAGAAAATGTAAAATGGCGGGAAAGCTAAGAGTTTAACGACATGGCTCCCTAATGCCTGTGGAGGCAGCCCTCAAACATTGGCCAGCCTTCACCCCAGGGAAAGGATAAGTGGAGGCTACAGGCTAGATGCTCCTCAGGGAAGAAAGCAGTTATGCTAATGTTTTAACTAATTAGTGTCAGTTACAAATCAGTTCTTTCAGATGAAGGTTCCTCTTGAGAAAATATAGTGCTCATAAAAACATCTGCAGTTGGGTGGCAGTAGGCTGTGAGATGTTTTAGAAAAGCTCATTAACTCAGACTTGACTCATTAAGTATGGGTGATGAGAGGATATGGGGTATATGTCTGAAAACAGAACATACAAGGGATTCCTTTGCCAGGAGTCAGGAACTAATGGTGATGACAGGGATGGGGGAGGCATTGTTGACAGTGCATATATATGCGTGTTCAAAAATGTGATCCGCGCAGCAACCCCATGAGGTTGGAGTTAGCCTCTCTAAGCCTCAACATGCTCATCTGTAAAATGGGAAGATGTCGCTAACCAAGGACATAGAGCTGGTAAGTGGGCGGACTAGCTCCGTGTCTTGTGTAATTGTGTCTATGACTCTCAGCTACTCCTCACAGCTTTTCTTTAACCCAGGAAAGGGCTAGCTCCAGGCACAACTGCAGAACCACCACATCTGGCTTTGGTGTCCCTCTCCCTCTCCTGACTCCCTTAACCCCGGCTGGGAGCCTTGTCCCGAGACTTCATTTTCCACACAGTGGTTTTCTCAAATGTGTTCATAATTCCTTATAAAGTATCAACCTTCCCACAAATATTTTCATTTCAGTCAGAAAGTGTCACAGGCTGAACCAGCTCATGCTCTAACAACACCAGATTGGGTAGTAAAAAAGGGATGTGCCGCACAGGCAAAAAATACGTCCGAGATGAGCGAGAACATGGTTAGCTTACTCAAGAGTGGGGACAGCAGGAAATTGTTTCCAAGCTCTCCATAAAATAATACTAATATGGAAATATGAAATAAGCTTACACAAGATAAATTGGCGTATGGTAAATTGTCTGCTTATCTACAAAGAGCTTCGATTGCTCCTGGAAGAGAAGTGGTTTGGCTTGGTAGGGGAAAAAACACTCAGTCGTGGAGTTTCACAGATCTGAGAGTGTTCTCCTCCTGCTTCCTGGTTTCGTGATCTTGGGCCAGTGATTTAACTTTTCTGAACCTCAATTTCCTCATTTGCCAAATAGGAATAATGAGACCTAGATTTTAGGGTGTGGTAAGAATTAACTGAGGCGATAGGTGTGGTGCTCTCACCGTACTGCTTGAAGTGTGACGAAGGGTAGCCAGCATTATTGTTGGAGTGAGCATGGAGAGAAGCCCTGTTAGACTCCGACGGAATGAAACCACACTGCTCTCAATGTGCTCTTTGGCTCGGATGGTTTTCTTGTTTTGGCAGATCTCTCTTTCATTTTAATATATTTTCTATTGCAAGGCAAAAACAAAGTAAATTTACAAACACCAGTTGATAGCTTGGTGAAACTTGAATGAGCTTTTGGAGAAACTTGAATTTTATTCCCAATTTTCAAGGGAGGAGCTGTGGAAAACAGAAATCGAACAAGACTCTCAAAGACGTAACCTGTGTGTCTCTCAGCTTTTCGTTTGGTGCTTACCTAAGAGATGGTAAGACTTGTCTTGGCTGTTCCTAAAAATCAACTGGGCAACCAAATTTGCTTTTGGATTTTTCATCAGAGCAGGGGCCACCAGATCCATCGAACAGATTGCAGATGATGCAGTTGTTCTGAAGTAAAGTAGAGATCTACAGACACCCATGACCTCTCTGAGCAGAACCCTTTGTACAGAAACAGGAAGGGTTCTCCTCAGGGTGCAGTACATGGGAGGGCCCAGATTTAAGTTCTGAATCCCACAATGATCTCTTCAATGCGTTTTTTCTTCTTTTATGTTTTTCAGGTACTCTCCCCTGGGTATCGCCTGCCTGATTTGTGGGAAGATCATTGCAATCAAGGACTTAGAAGTGGTTGCTAGGCAACTGGGGATGTACATGGTCACAGTGATTGTGGGCCTCATCATCCATGGGGGCATCTTTCTCCCTTTAATTTACTTTCTAGTGACCAGGAAAAACCCCTTCTCCTTTTTTGCTGGCATTTTCCAGGCATGGATCACTGCCCTGGGTACCGCTTCCAGGTAGAGAACACAAGGAATCACCTTTCTTTCTCTCTGCTCACTCTTTTGTCCTCTTTGCCAAATCCTCTTTTTCAAAACCCTCCTGTCTCAAAGTTCAATGAGAACACTTTTCCCATATTATTAAAATATTTTTGAAAAAGGTGAATGCTTTGTATTTTTGGCTCCTTCTAGGAACTTTTGAGCAAGAATGCATCAGAAGATGAACATCTTTGCTGGTATGCAACTGCATTGGAAATACGATCTCATATTGAATTTCCCAGATGAATGCATGCTGTTAATCTGCATGCCTAATTTGCCACGTATAGCATTAGTTTAGTTTTAAATGTTTTCCAAATAACAGGATGTTATTCTATTTAAGAAATTCTGTCACCAGTGATCTGAAAAATGCTATCACAAAATATCATTCTATTGGAATAATTTTTCAAAAGCAGGAGAATGAGCTTTTGCAGGGTAAATGGTATGTTAAGTAAGATTTTTCAAACAAATCAGAAGTCAGTCAAGTCTTTGACCTCTGTGTGAACCGCTGATGGACCATTCTGCTCCACTGATTTTGAGAAAACCAGGTTGGCGTCGATTTGACTTGACATCGACTGCAAGTCAGTTCCTTCTTCATTACCTAGTTCCAGTGCCCCGGAAGCCAGTGAAGACTCCGGAGATATGCAGAGAGAAGTGTTTTGTTTTAGATGTCATCTGGACTGAAGTTAGCAAAACCAAACAAACAAATACATAAGAAACACTGGGCAATTGAGAATTTCTAAGCCTAAGGAGTTTTATTCCTTCAGCCTGCAACTGTTGTCTATATTTCTGCACATGTGTCCTTGGGTCACGAAACTAAGACTGAGGTCGTACAGAAGGTGGCAGGGAGGCAAGCAAATTCTGCAGCCCCTAGCTCAGCATTGTCTCTGGAGTCATGGGTCCTCGTTGCAGAGCGCGTGACCACACACTGCCAGTGAGGTGGCCGCTTGTGACACAGGGCGGCTGCAGTTCCAAGGCTCATGAGCAGGCGGTCGCACTTTCTTTAAGTGGCCTAACAATCCGGTAGCAGTGACTACCTGGGAAGCCACATTATCTTTCCCTCTCGCAAATCAGTGAGAATTTGGTACTAGTAAAAGGTGAGCTTCCAGAAAAAGCTGCAATATATGCATTCGTGGGGTCTAGACTCTGCACAAAGTTTCCCAAGATGAAGGGAAATACTCCAGAATTTCTTATTTCCTTCTTGGTCCTAAGTATCTTTGTCCATAAAGATCCTTTCTCTTTGGAGAAAAAGTAAATCCTTTTTTTTTTTTTTTTTTAAATAAAAACCATCATCTTCAGTTTTATTTTTGTTTTCTGGTCATGAGCATAGCACACGCTCATTGTGAAAAAAGAGAGTGAATAAAATTTCAAAGGAGAAAATGAACATCACCAGTTATTCTGTCACCCAGTGATAATTGGTAGTAACCTTTAGTTAATCTTTACAGTTATATATCCTTCCAGTTCTTACTATGTATAGATATTGTAAACTGCTATTTTTCACTGGTCAACATATCATGAAAGTTGTGTTATATCTATCAAGATAGATCTTTCTACTATTTTTAAAACTGTACGATAATACACTGTATGTACTGCAATACAACCCCACCCTCATCCCGTGAGGTACATTTAAGGCATGTCTATTAAACAGGGTTGTGACAAGTATCCTTGTAAATACATCTCTGCAAGGTTGTCTGATGATGCCCTCAGGATAAATTTCTAGAAGTGGAATTTCTGAGTCCAGTGGCAAACACATTGACCGTTTTAGATCATATCACCAGACTGTCATTCAGAAAAGTATATTTGTTTACATCCCCCTAACTGGATGTGGGAGTGTGCCTTCCCCATCTACTCACCAGCTCTGGATAGCATCAGTCACTTGAATACTTGCCAGTCTTATTGGTGAAAAATGGTCTCATTGAATTTGCATTTCTGAGTCCTAGTGGGGGAAGCATCTTGCTGTCTTCTTATTGACCACCTTTCCCTCCACTCCCCCGCCCTGTGCATTTTTTGTGATCTTAATTTCCTGTTGGGGTATTCACCCTTTCCTGATTGGTTTTTGACTCTCTTCATGTATAAAAATATTAACTTACGTGTCACATGTTGCAAATAATGTCCCTCTCCTCTTGACATTTGTCTTAAAAATTTATAGAAGTTTTTAATTTGTATGTTGTTGAAGCTGTCAATATATTGAGAATGTTGATTTTGCTCAGGAACATCTTCTCCACCAAAGATTATAAAATATTACTTTATATTTTCTTCTAATACCTTTACAGTTTTGATCTTTAAACTATTTCAAAAATATTATGATTATCTTTTCTTGAATGACTAGACAAAAGGTATTCCAGTACCTTTATAAGATAAGGTAAATCTTAAAGGTATATGGATGGCCCAAATTCATATTTAAATCTGACAAAGGCTTGGGTTATCCGGCCAAGGCCATAAATGACCCATTTCTCCTCCTTACTTTGTATTTCCTTTGAAAAAAAAACAAGTGGTTTTAATTTTTGATTAGAACGTGACTTTTGCCTGGACGTGGAATTCCTATTTTTACAAGAAAAGAAACTTTTTAAGAAAAAGTCAATGTGGCGGGAGTCATGTACTAAGAATTAACTTTGCCGTCAGGACCAGAGGGAAAAAATGCAGCGCGTGAGGACAGCTGGCTAAACATCTTTCCTACCTCCCCGGACCTTGGACTGAATGGGGATGTGGAGGAAGGTTGACCCCCTCTTCTCAGTGGGCACAGGGCTGGTGTCAGGGAGGGTAGATGGAGGGGGACGGCCTGGCACACACCTCTCTGCATCTCTCTGACTTCAGTGCATACTGTTAAAACCAATCTGGGGAAACAAAGGAGAATCTCAAGTATCTGGTAGTTATTATTAGCAACATTTGAAGACTGTCATATGGCCATCGAGTCAGGAGCCAAGAAAACAATGACAGAACCTTGGCCTGTCAACACAGGAAAGCGTTAAAATTCTCAAGTCCCAGTTTGGATCAGCTGGGTTGATAATGGATTTTTAATTTTTAAAGCCTGCCCTGGAGAGAAACTGAGGATGTTTTCATGCCTTACCAATTATTTTCCCCAATCTATTTAATTGTCTCAAGACCCTTTGAGAACATTTTGGGGAAAGGAATGCAATAATAATAATTAACATATCCCAGTCCTCCCCGAAGTGTCCTCAGATTCATACCATTGAGAATCCCAGCCTCCACCCGCGGCTGAGCAGCCATTTCAGACCAGTCCTGGTGTCCTGGAAACCCTTCAAAGGGGTCCTAGGAAGGGGGGTGGGGGAGGCGTGGGGGTGAGAGGAATAAAGGGACACTAATGTCTCATTAAAACAGCTGGGGCAGCAAGCCAGGTACAACGGCATCCCCGCATGCGAACGAGGCTAGACCCCGACTTTTCTTCCCTGGGTTGATGAGGTTTTAGTAACGAGAGGTCTTCAAACATTCATTTCTTCTCCCTACCTAAGACCAAGCAGGAGGCGTGGGACAACCCCTGGAACGAAGAATGTTCCAGTAAGATGACTCTGGCTTCCCTAAGGTTGCTATTAGGAGTCTTTGGCCAGTGGTTTGGTAAGATGCAGACTTAGGCGACCCTCACATTAGAGCTTCTGGTTCCTTGGTTCTGAGCAGGGCCTGGAATCTGCATTTCATTTAGCTTCCCTGAAGGTGACGGTCCTCCCCCACTCTCTGAGAAACGCAGACTTCTGCAGTTGTCTTTGTCCAGCTTGGCTGGAGCCCCAGTTCTGACTAGCAGGAGGAGGGAACTATGACTAAGGCTGAAGTGCAAGAGAGAAAAAAGTGCTGTCTGCACTGGAGGTTTCCCAATTCACTTTGCTAAGGTTTGAATAGAAAAAAACATCGAAAGCGAACGGACCACAAAGCACTCCCAGGGCAGTGCAAGTGTTCTGCGCTGCTTTCCACATCACTTCCACTTTGACGCAAATCCACCTGCCGCCTCATGCACCTCTAGCCACATGAAAATAATGTTCTGGCCTTCAGCGTCCTTTATCCTTACAGGTCTCCTATTTTAGAAGACCCGTGAACATGTCGGGAATTCTGGCCTCTGAGGCTGGGTCATGTGCTCATGAACTCCCAGCCCACGCCGGGGAAGAGTGGGGGTGAAGTCACTCCGTACTGGGTCTTGCATTAGCAACAGAGCACGTGGTTTTCTGCTGTTATGGCGTTGGAGACACTGCAGAGTTGGCCAGGGACCATTTATCAGGGAGCTGGACTGTCTGTGAAGGTCCCCAGTGAATTACTAGAAGCTTGAGTTCAGGCTAAATGTGCTTAACATATTTGTCCAGCATTCTCAAAATTAGCAGGCCCAGCTCAGGGCAATTCCTAGGGGCTGGATGCAATCCATGTAGTTATCTTGTTGGAAACAGCATTTCTAGCATGAAATTATGGGTCATTCAAAAATTCCTCATTCTATTTCACTGTCGACAGCGATTCTTTTCTGACTTTTTTTTGTTGCAGCCCAGTTAATGTGGGCAATCAGATGAGCTTCAGTATTTAATCCAAGATAGAAACAGTGACCAAAGGAGAAAGAGAACTTGAAGCTCTGAGTAGATCTCAAAAACCAGAACCAATAAACACGTTTTGCTACCAGTTAGCATGTTAGTAGGACTGAATTTGAGCCTCCAAGTTGCTGGGTTTAGCTTGGCTCCAGACTGCTTTGCATACACGTTGCTTGACTGGAGCAAAGGAACAAAACTTTGTGGTGGCGTTCCAGTTTGTGCTTTGTCCTGCTTCTCTAAAGTGGACACAACTCGTCTCTCTCCCTTTCTCTCTTCGTCCCTTAGTGCCGGAACTTTGCCTGTCACCTTCCGTTGCCTGGAAGAAAATTTGGGGATTGATAAGCGCGTGACCAGATTTGTCCTCCCAGTCGGAGCAACCATTAACATGGACGGGACAGCCCTTTATGAAGCGGTGGCCGCCATCTTTATCGCCCAAATGAATGGTGTTGTCCTGGATGGAGGCCAGATTGTGACCGTGAGGTGAGTGAAGTGGGGGGTGAAGCACTGAAACAACCTTGTCCCGTATCCCCTTCCACTAACTCCATTTCCCAGGGGCCACTTGAATTTCAGTTCTCCTGGAGAAAAAATGAAGGAAATAACAGAGAAGGGGAATTGTTGGCAGTCTCAAAGGGAAAAGATGGTGACAGGAAAGAAGCAGGCTCATACTTATGCCTTCTGTTTGTATTGCACATGTGAAATTGCTTTGGAAATTTGATATTATTTGGTTTTTAACAATCTTGTGATGTTGCAAGGCACTTATTTCTCTGCGCATTTAATAGATGAAGAAGCACAGGCTTCCAGGGGCACGGTGGATTGTCCAAGGCTACACTGTTTGTATGGGCCAGCAGGGCTGTACCTGGGGCCAGCGTCAGCTGGCTCTGGGTCCAGTTTTTCTTTCATTAAAATATGCTCCCTTCAGCATTCCAGGAGTTAGTGGCAGAAAGGATGAAATAATGGAAGGAAGAGATTCCTCAGTACAAAATAAAACATTTTATTACAAATAAATAGCAAATGTTTTTGTTTTTACTAGTTATTTTTACCATATGTATTCATCATTTAAAAAATTCGGAAAGAACACTTTCCCAAGAGGTCTTTAAAAACTCATTGCTTCTCCGTAAACTTAAAGATCACACCTACTTGCATTTATTAATTTATCTAATCCTCACAACCACCCTATGAGATGTGAACTTGTCTTAGTCAGCTCAGGCTGCTATAACAAAATACCATAGACTGGATGGCTCAAACAACAGACGTTTACTTCTCACAGTTCTTGAGGCTGGGAAGTCCAAGATCAAGGTGCTGGCAGATTCGGCTCCTAGTCAATGTCCTCTTCCTGGCTTGCATATGGCTGCTTTCTCACTGTTTGCTCACACGGCCTTTCCCTGGTGCGTGGAGAGAGAGAGAGCAAGCTCTCTTACGTCTCCTCTTATAAGGCACTGATGCCATCACGGGGCCTCCAGCCTCATGACTTAATTACCTCTCAGAGGCCCATCTCCAGACACCATCCCATTGGAGATTAGGGCTTCAACAAATGAATTTTAGGGGGACACAACTCAGTCCTTACAGTACTCTATGGGAGCCTCAGTTTCCTCATCTGTATACTGGGGACAATAATCAAACATTCTAGGGAGGTTGAGAGTATTGTCCCTGGTATGTAGTCACCTGTCAATAAATGTCAGTTACTAGTACTATTACTGTTATTGATGCTCAATAAAATACAATACTCCTAGAATATGAGAGAAAAATGTGACAGTGATGTAGAGAGTGCCATGATGTTACGCAGTGGAAAACATGCTCCAGGTCAGAGTATCAAGCCTTCTAAATCGTGTCCTAACAGACTGCCTGTGAGACTGCCAACCTCTCTTGCTTTAGAATTCGAAGATGAACATAGCTCCTTAATCAAGCCCCTTCTTTTGAAACCAAGCAAAGATGATTGTGGTCCCTGAATTCTTGGCCTTGATGGCAACCATGCTTCCCATTAAGTTCATACCATTAGATGAGAACTTAGAGATGGGAGAATGGACCAGTGACCAAGTGATTGGGATTCATTAATTCGTAGAATATTCATCGTGGGGAGGGATCAGGGACATCAGGAGCCAGCGTGGCATTGGAGTCAAGCAGATGAGTGTTCACATCCCAGCAGACTATGTTCAAACTGCGGGACCCTAGTTTCTCCAGCCATCCAATCCATGGTTTCCTCATGTGGGAAGCAGGTGCTGCCATATGTACCTCACAGGGTTACTATGAGGTTCTGCTGTGACAACATGTGTGCAGTGCCTTGCACAGCATCCAAGAACCAGCCCTAGAGAAGTGAGCCAGGGGAGTGGAAGGACAGGAAATGCAGGAAGGGATAAAGGGACAGAGGGGAGATCACTGCCCGGGAACCTATTGTAGGACTTAGAATTCCAGACACTCTGCCCATGGTAGGGTGAGGGTATGATTGGGATGGAGGAACAGAGGGGGAACAAACTACCAGGAAGCCTTCTTTTTATAGGATTTTATTTCCCACAACCAAGAGGTAACCAGACAACGTGGCCACAGTGCAAAGGAATGTGTAAGAGTGACTCATAACAGAAGCAACTGACGTTGTAAATAAAACAGCCGAGGCCAAGGTCGTTGGAACTTGGGAAGTTCCCCTTCCCTGGTGTTCTATCCATGTTGGGGAAATGGCTGACAATTCCCACCTTCCAGCTCTTGGGGCTTTAGGGAAGTTTTCATTGCAGAGCAGCCTCACTCTGCGGAGATTTCCCAATAAGAATAATTCACGTTTTTTGGAGGGTGCAATGTGCCCAGCCTCTTCTAAGTGCTTTTTATTTATTAGCTCCTGAGAAACCCATAAGTGAGACAATATTATTATCTCCTTTTTTACAGATAAGGAAATGAAAGCACAAAGAGGTTAAGTAAGTTGCTCAAAGTTATGTGGTTAATAAGTGGCAGAGCTGGGATTTGAACCAGGTCGTTCAACTCCAGAACCTTTAGTGATCACCACCACACGCTACTCCCCTCCTATGACCCAGATGGATCCAAGGAAAATGAAGTTCTCTAACCCTGATACCCCAGCTCCTTACTGGTGGGGCAGGGGAAGAGCATAGATGGGTTCTGTAGATCCGACCTAGGGGAGTTGTCTTTACTGGGACAGGCCTAAATCTGGGAAGGATGGCAATATGGATAAACAGCACAAACCACAAGATCTCCTGAGGCCTTGGTTTCCTCATATGTGAGATGAATTCAGGTCCCTCCCAACTGGAAGACCCAGAATTCTGTGCTTGGTCACACTGTTGGTCTGGGGTTGGTTAAGCCGGTTTGGGAAACTGATTCTCAGTTTGAAGCCAGAGGACCTACTCTAGAAACTCTGAAATTGTATAACTGCAAAGAAAGCAGCCCCCCCCCTTCTCTTTTGAGCACCCACAAAAGCAAGTTGGGAATCAATATTTTCAGAAGCATCCTTCCATTTAGAAATGACAGCTTTTATAAATGGCATCCAGAAAAGAGGAAAAAAAGTCACTAGCCTTTGCTGGACCACAGAGACCCCTTAGGACCTAGACAGGGCACTTGAACCCTAGCTTAAACCCTCTTCCAGAGACAATTTCAAAATGGTGCTGTGTGTGCCCTTGGCATGGCTTGGAAAGCAAATGATGAGATGCTTCAAAAGAAAACCTCCTGTTATTTCATTATCATTTCTTGGTGCCCTCTTTCTGAATAATGTATTTTCCAGCTCATGGTGGAACGTCCAGGTGTCTGAAGCTTAATGTCATTTGGAATCTGTTGATTTGTTCCCCCAATGGCCATTTTGCTGGGTCTGGATATTTGCTATTCTGAGTTCTCATGTTAACATTGGCAGTGGCCTCCTCACACTCTGGCCACGTAGTCCAGAAGTCTCTGGTGCTCGCGGAGACGTAGGGGCGTGAGCAGAAATGAATGCGGTTGTGTTCCCATGGGAGGATTAAGGGGGATTTGTTTTTCTTCCTTACCATTTCCTTGCCTGCTTTTAGACCCATGCTTACCTTATTTGAACCCTGTGATCTGTTAAGCTAATCAGATGTCATGATGAGGATAAGGCTCCAATCCATGAATTTATTGAACAGAATCCAAATAGATCCTCATTCCAGGGTCTTGGTACTCTAGATTTCTCTATCCTGTGGGAGGGAAAAGGAGTTTTGTGACTGCCAGGAAAATTAGAGCTTAAAATTACCAGAGACGGTTTTGGCAAGGCCTCTCTCTTCCCATGACCTGGCCTTCTCTGTTCTCCAGCCTCACAGCCACGCTGGCGAGCGTCGGCGCCGCCAGTATCCCCAGTGCCGGGCTGGTCACCATGCTCCTCATTCTGACAGCTGTGGGCCTGCCGACAGAGGACATCAGCCTGCTGGTGGCTGTGGACTGGCTGCTGTAAGTGTTTGCAGATGGGGTTCTGCTGGGGACGTGAGTATTCCCTCCCGGGGTGGCCAAGATCTTAGCCAATCCCCATGGCAACTCCCTCACTTTCTCCCTCCCTCCTTCCCTCTAACATTTGCTGAGTGCCTACTTGGGAACCAAAGAAGAAAAAGATAGAATCTTTAAGGGCCTCACAGTCTAGGGGAAGAATCAGATAAGTTGTAATGCAGAGTTAAAAGCGTAGAGGTAAGGAACCAACTACTGACTCATGAAAGGATCTCAAAACCTTATGTTGAGTGAACGAAGCACAAAGGAGTATAGACTGTCTGATTCCATGTATATGAAGCTCTAGGGAAGACAGTATCATCCCTAGCAATAGAAAGAGATCAGTGTTTGCCGGAGCCCAAGGGTAGGGGCGATAGAAATGTTCCATGTGCTCAGGGATGCACAGCTGTCTACATTTGCCAAAACTCATCAAATCATGCACTTAAAATGGGTACAATTTATTGTTTGTAAATTACACTTTGATAAAATAGATTAAAAAGTAGCACACACATAAAAGGATAGTGATAGAGAGAGCCTCTGTTCCATCTAGGACGGCAAGGCAGAGTGGAGAAATCAGGAAACTATGAAAATGGTTACCAAGTTGGAGAGCCACCCTACATCTTCCTCTCACCACAACCCTGAAAGTTTGGTGTTATTACTCCCATTTTATAGATGAAGAAACTGAGGTTTGGGGAGGTAAAGTGACTTGAGAATGAAAGAGATTTGACCCTAGGTCTGCTTGGTTTTGGAGGCCACCACATTCATACTCATGGCCATATTCAAGCTTCTGAAGGCAGTGATAGCTGAGCTGAATCATACCTGGTGGGTAGAAGTAACCGATAGTACACAGATGGAGGGGAGCAGGACATCCCAGTCAAGGCCAGCCTGCACACAGGCACTGAGGCAGCAGTGTGGGGGCCTTTGAGTGGTTTCGGATTATTACAGCACAAAGTGTGAGGCAGGGAGTGGCGGAAGCTGAGGCAAGATGGACAGTTTCAGAGGCCGTGCAAGGAAGCTTAAACTTGACTGTGTGCACATAGCCCAGCTGCCTTTACCAGCAAAGGACGTTATCCTAGTGGAGGATGCTCACTGCCCATTCACAAAAGTGGGCCAGTCTAGCCAGATGGTCCCCAACAGGGAAGGTGGAATCCATCTTTGCTAAGGGCCCATTTGGGCTCTGACCTTCTGTGGGATGGACCCTGATGCCCCATGTCCAGTCTTGGACCTAAATGACAGGGGCTGGGGGATGCCAATGACTTCAATGTCAGAGGTGCAGAGTGACAAGTGCTGGTGCAGAGGTTCAAGGCCAAAATGCCCACACTTTTTTTTTTTTGTGAGGAGGACCAGCCCTGAGCTAACATCCAAGACAATCCTCCTCTTTTTTTTTTTTTTTTTTTTTTGGACCAGCCCTGAGCTAACATCCGATGCCAATTTTTTTTTTTTTTTTTTTGCTGAGGAAGACTGGCCCTGGGCTAACATCTGTGCCCATCCTCCTCCACCGTACACGGGACGCCGCCACAGCACGGCTTAACAAGTGGTGCGTCAGTGTGTGCCCAGGATCCGAACTGGCGAACCCCGGGCCGCCGCAGTGGAGCGTGTTCACTTAACTGCTTGTGCCACTGGGCCGGCCCCCCACACTTATTTTTTAAACTGCCTCACATGCCAGTGACAGTTTTTCTGACATGTATTGGCATAGATTTTAAGAGACAGAAGCCACAGTTTATGGACTCGAGTTTCCCCCATGCTAAAACAAGTTCCTTCCCCCTACACTCATCCTTCCAAAGAGAGAAGCGTGCAAGTGGCTGCAGGGAGGAAGGGCATCTGGGAAGGCTAGAAGGCCTCTCCATAAAACTTGCCTGCTGTTGAGGTTTAGGTTGGACATGAGAAGTGGCTCCCTGAACATAATCTGTTTAACTCAGGAGGGCTGCGAGGGGGGTCATGGATCTTTCTGACTGGTTCTTTCGTCACCAGAGAAATGCTCTGGAAATGCCTTCGGTGGGAAGGTGAAGAGCAGATGAACGACCTCTTATCTCTCCCTGCCAGTCTCTCTCAGGGGGTGATGGGATCTTTCATGCTGGTGTTCTCTGTGCCCTGTGCTGGCCCCAAGGGCAGCCTTTCTCATCACGTCCGTTCAGACAAGGCAGCCATGGGGGCAGCTGAGATTCGGTGGTGGTGTGTGGGTGGAAGGATTGGGAGCAAACAGGATGAAGGAGACAAAGGAGTGGGGTAGGATTTGGTTGGGAAAGAGGACAAAGGGGAAATGAAGACATTGGCAGTGGTTTGGGGACAGAGCACACAGTAGGAGCTCAATAAATGCGTGCTAAAGTTAACCACAGAGTTGCTGTGTGATGACCAGGGGCCTTTCCACACCAGAAGAAAGACAGAGGGAGCTACTGAATCGCATCTGCCTCCCCTGTGACTTTGGTTACTGAGTCCTCTGCCTCTTTGTCCCCAGAGCCTCTGAACTCGTGTTGTCATCGAGCGCCCCTTGTCTGTGGCGACCACATTGCCTAGTCTCTTCTTGGGCTTGTTTCTGGGTCCCAAAATCAGCCATTAGAGTTGCGTCTTTTTAAAAATTATTATTACAGAGGCTGCATCCCCCCATTTTATGCAAATACCTTTGAGTGGAAAAAAAATACACTAGTATTGTCTGGAATGAAGAAACAGAGCTGGTATTTGGTGGGTACCACATGTTCTTCACATCTGTTTACAGCTAAAGAGCCCTATGGTGTGTTTCATAGATGAAGAAACTGGGGATCAGAAAGGTCAAGTCTCCCGCCTGGAGCACAGCAGACCTTGTGTGGCCAGGTCAGGGCCCTTCACCCCACCCCATACAACTTCCTTGTTAGTGTCAAGCAGAGCTCACCGAGTCGGAAAGGATGAAGACAGACCTATCGGGGTCACCCCTGCTTCTACACACTAACCAGAGAATTTTCGGTTTGACTTGTTTTTTTCGCCTCTCAGGATTAAAACAAAACAAAAGGCCTGAGTGGGACAGTCAAGGTCTCAGCCACTCTTAGAATTCAGGTCCTCCTGCCCCAGTGGGTCAGCCATGGTGGGCCCTGGTGTCATTTCTTCCAAGCCTATTGGATGAGAGTCAGTTCTTGAAACATTCAAGACCCTGCCTACCTCTGACCTGAATGTCAGCGCGTGGAAGAGGAGGGCCGGGCCTCTCGATCGCCCCACATGGGCACTCACAGGCTCATACTTGCACAGAGAGCAGGGCATCCTAACTCCAAGGCTGACACGTGCCAGCAGAAGGGAGTTGGCTGAACGAAAAATGTGATGATACATTTGGATTAACTATATTGAAGAAATTGTCTAGGAGAAAACACCATCCCAGGCTGGAGCTGGAAAGGAAGGAGCAAATGAAGAGCTCTCCTCTAGTTCCGGGGTCTGACCTCAGATGGAGGGAGGCCCCGTGATCAAGGAGGAAAAGGCGAAGGAGCAGGGGGCCTGGCTCTGAGCTCTGCACTCGCTCTCTGTCGGACTTTGGGCCAGTAACCTAATCTCTGGATTCAGCTACGTCATGTGCATGATGGGAACAGTAACTTATCAGCTTGAAAGCAGAGTCTAGACCCAGAGCCCTTGAATGCCCTGCTAGTTTAAGGCCTGGACTAGGATTCTGTTGGTGCTGGATGTTTGTGTACAAATAAGCATGAACGTTCATTTCAAGAAGGAAAGGAAAAGGGAGGGTAGAGGATCCTGGGAAAATGTGTGTAGGAGTCTGTAGCTAGGTCAGAACTGCTTTGAATTAGTAATGGTACCACATTCTTTCCCACCAGCAAGAGGAGTTCTGGAAACATGCTCTGGGTCATGGATTCCATGCTGTTGGGTGCCCATTAGTGAGTGAGTGGGGCAGGGGGATGAGTCAAGATAGGAGTGCCAGGCATTTCCTAGTAAAGTAGTCTGTGGAGGAAAAGCAGAGAAAGAGAAAAGGGGGAGATGTTTTTCCTCTCTAGGTAAGGTTTGTAGGCTTTCATAACTCTAGCAATTTTCCAATTTAAAACCCAACAAAGCCTGCAGTGACATTTAATGTGCCACGGTGTTTGCCAACTGCTGGAGACCTGCCAGCCTCATTACTGCCCGCCAAGCCCTGGCTGCTTTTCAACGGGCAGGCTTAGCTGCTCTGTAAATGTCATGGTGAAAACCAAGATTCTGGGCCCTGAAAAGTGCCTGAGTCCTTCAACACCGAGGAGCAGGGCTAGTAAAACCAGAACCTTCCCCAGGGTCCAAGAAGCCCTTTGTGTCAGGAATCCTTGGCAGATGTTTGTAAGAGACCTCGCTGATTCCTCCCTCTCTCTGGAGGAGGCAGGATGGAGTGAAAATTGGGAGCCAGTTCCAGGGAGAGGTGATAAATAACTGGGTCTGGCCACAGGTGGGGGAAAAAAGGCCAAAATAAAGTGAAACCCAAGTGGGTCTATGGCCCACTTATCAGACTGCTGGTGAGGTCATTTCTGAGGACACATTTGTTAACTGGGGGATATCCTTGAGATGGCACTTATAAGGAAGGCCGTAAGGAGCCTCCACCCTGCAAGGAGGCCTCTGAAGCTCCGCATCAGCATGCCTCCCTGGAGGGAATAGAGCATTGGTCCTCAGACTTGAGCGTGCACTAAATTCTCCTGGAGATTCAGGCTGTCTGGGGTGGGGCCCAACAATTGGCATTTCTGACAAGTTCCCAAGTGGTGCCAATGATGCTGTCCAGGGACCTCACTTCCAGAAGCAATGGACTAGACACAGGGAGGGGGAGTGGGAGTTCCCGATTGTGGGTATATGAGCACCTCTGCTCTTTCTTGAGTATCCATTCAATGAAAATAGATTGACAGGATGCAGGATACCAATAGCTAATACTTAGCAAGTGCCCCTTAACTGTTAGACATTGTTCTAAGCTCTTTACATGGACTTGTTTAAAAGTCACAGCAAATTATGAGGCAGCTAAAAATATTATCCCTGTTTTACAGTTAAGGAAA